CCCACCACCGTCCAGACGCAGCTGTAGCTGCTGCAGCTGTGGCTCCTGCAGCTGTGGCTACTGCAGCTGTGGCTCCTGCAGCTGTGGCTGCTGCAGCTGTGTCTCCTGCAGCTGTGGCTCCTGCAGCTGTGGCTGCTGCAGCTGTGGCTCCTGCAGCTGTGGCTGCTGCAGCTGTGGCTGTACCTGCTGCAGCTGTGGCTGTACCTGCTGCAGCAGCTGCTGTAGCTATTGCAGCTGTGGCTCCTGTAGCTGCTGTAGTTGCTGCTGCATCTGCTATAGCTGCTGCTGTAGCTGTTGTAGTTTCTGCTGCTGTAGCTGCTGTAGCTACTGCTGTTGCAACACTGGCTGTGATGCTTTGACATTTCTTAGCACAATAATTGTTGCGCATCTCTGAATTCAGCAAAAATAATGGCAATGTAGCCACTCCTGCTAGAAGGCGTTCCGTGATAGAGCACTGTGAGATTTTATTTTCAAATAAAGTCAGCTCTCGCTTGCAAAAATATATCGTATATTTCAACGCAGTCCTGTACAACTTATGTAGAAGAGTAGGCCAGAAATACCCACTTGTGGGACTCTATGCCCCTTCTGTCAGCAGTGGCATGAGCAGGCAATCACAGGGCTGTACCGTTTCCCTTTAATAATAACTTCAACTTGTAGCGAGAAGCACGGCATTTGCTCACTCTCAAAGAGAGACTCAGATGCAAGGAGGATCCACAGACAAGCTGCAAAGGCCACACGATGACCTGGCACCAAATTTCCTCTACACGTTCTGCGCGTCTCTAAATATTGAGATGTTATGGGCCATTGAATGAGTTTTTACATGCCAGAGGAAACCGGAGCACTTGGGAGAAATCCCACGCATGCGAGAGGTGGGGGGGAACTCAATCCCATACAAACAAAACCAAGTGGAGTCCACATTTTTGCCGCATTCTCCTGGCAAGCCAGGAGAATGCATCCACGGAAAGGGAATTTCAGCACAACGTTTGCGCGATCCGCCAACCCTCACTGCCTCCATAGTGCTGGATTACAGGGCCACGTGCTTAGCCACCACCGCCCCACGATTTAATTCGGACGACTAAACAAAACTCGCCACCATTAACGCCGCGGCGGTCGTTTGAAACGACTCGGGCGACGTCCGCGCGCCCCTGCAACACGTCGGCGGTGGCGACGTTCGTCCATCGTGCGGCCGCAGCGGGCACCGGGGCGGCGCTCACCAGCGGCGGATGTTGGGGCCGATGCGACCGCCGCTTGGCCCGCCGTTCCCAACCCCAACGTGAACCAAACCCCGGCAGCCGCGGGCTCCGTCAGCTTCGTCAGTCGCTCGCCGTGCCGCACGCGACGCCGTCTCCCGGGACGGCGTCGCTCCGCTCGGCGCGCCTGTTTGCCGCTGTGCCGCCCGCCCCGATCACCCAAACCCCAGCACCGAGCCGGCGTGATTGGCCTCGACGCCCGCTCGCCTTCCGTTATTTATCGCCGCCGTCAATATTTCATCGCGCGGGGCGGCCGCGCTAATCTGCGCTCGTCTTGTTTACGCCCGTATTGTATGTCAATGAGCGGGCGGGGAGGAGAGGGGGGGGGGGCGAACCCGCCACCACACACCCCCACTCCCAACAACTACAGCTTGTTCTAGATTCTGTGAATCTGTGGATCTAGATGCTGTGAATCTGTGAATCTAGATGATGTGAATCTGTGATTCTAGATGCTGTGAATCTGTGATTCTAGATTCTGTGAATTTGTGAATCTAGATTCTGTAAATCTGTGAATCTGTGCAAGGCCCCCACGGGCCACTGGCGGGCCCCCTGGTGGCCTTTAGCGCGGCCCCTGATGTGCGGCCCCCGACAAATCACACAGAGTGACAACACTCCCCACCACCATCATCATCATCGTGCTGCTGTCAAACCCACAATGGTTTCAATGTGTGGCGGCCCTCAGAACGTCTTATGGGCAAAGGCGCAGCCCTGCAATTGCTTGCTCGCGCCGCTGGCCGGCGGAAGTAGCCTGCACCGCAGGAAGCTCAAGAGAGCCCCCCTCTCCATTGTACTTTGGCCTACTCTTCCATTCCGGCCACACATGCATGGTGCCAATAAATGAGCAGCGGTTGAACCCATTTACACTGCTGGGTGGACAAGAGGAGGAAAGGGCTTTCAGAAACTTGCACCATTGTTTTAAACACCGCCTATGGGGATTGAACCCGGTGACCTGCGGATTGCAAGTCCAATGGGCTGACCATTTACATCGTGACAGGATCCCAAAACAATGCATCCTCGAGACGCATGAGCAGAGAAGTACTTGTTTGTTGCAAAAGAGACCCTTGCCTGTGTATTGTTCAAATTGCCACATACGGCACTCAGATTGACCGAGGGTAGACTTATGATAGACACAGAGTGCATAGGTAGATTAGAGACCGCCAGACAGATAGATTATACTGTGTACAGAAAGATAGATAAACTACTGATCGCGTGCTGCTAAGCGCTGCAGTTACTCTCCGATGACGGGCACACACTCGCGGCTCTGCATGGATCCCTTTACTAAATTCATGGGCGAAGACAAGATTCATAAATGTAGGGAGCGTATGGCCTGGCTTGTTTATTGATATGCGTGTTTGTGTGTGCGTATTTACGAGGGGACTGAATATTAAATGCATGCACAGTCACACACGCGCCGATTTACATTTCGGGAAAGTGACCTCCAATATCATTGCACTTATTATTTTATATATATCAGGGTTAATATATAAACAGGAATTGTATCGAAATAGATCCATCGCTTGTCATACTCTACATACAGATGTATATGAGGGTTATGGATGGGTGCCCTCATTTCAGATTCCGGAAATCAAAATAATCAGAAATAGGGCCTTAATGCTAAATTTGAGATGACAACGATTAGAAAGTACATCTGAAAATGTCCTTAAACATCTCAAAATTCGAAATATGTTCTTTTTTTGAAGCCCATCACTTGTAGGCATGTGCATATGCGCGTATGGGCATGTGTGTATGGGGAGTGGTGGTGTCGTGTCGTGGTTATCGCACTGCGTTACGAACCCGGCGACCCGACTTCAATTCCTGCTCGCGGTCAACACCAGTGATGATTTTTTTAACCAGTCAAGGGCCTCCCCTAGGTCGACTCAGCCTCAAATGAGTACCAGGTGCGGTGTGTAAACATCGCCACTAGGGAGACAAAGGCAGCCAGGCGTGGCGCTGGTCACCCACCCCCTCGTGTGCCGTGCAGGCCTTTATAGGTGCTCGCTAACAGCACTTGCCCCAACAGTCTGTTAAGGCCACACGGGGGATCTTTGTCTTTATACCAGGACTAGCCTTTTGACCGATCAAGGACGGGTGTCTTGTAGTAAATCTGAAACTTGCAAGCGAAAATCAGACCGCGACCGTGATATTCATTGCATTAATGCGTGTGCAATTTGTAAGGGCGCGGTGATACAGACCTATTTCATTTAAAGGTTATAATCCCTTGTTCATCACGACGCCCTTTTTACTTCGATGTCTCAATAGCGTGACGGAGATCACGTGACGTGAGGGCTCTGCCTTTGCAGTGAGGGTTGTAAGTTGACGACGAGGAGGGGGGAGGAGGCGCCTCACCCCCCCGTGTGGAGTGACGTCACCCGCTAATTATGAATGGGGGGGGGGGTGTCCATTTGGAGGACGTCACCTTATGATTATTAATGAGGGGGGATGTTCGATGTGGAGTGACGTCACCGGCTCATGATTATTAATGAGGGGGGAGGGTGCGCCATGTGGAGTGACGTCACCTGTTCATGATTATTAATGAGGGGGGCTGGTCGAGGTGGAGTGACGTCACGAGCGTTGCACACAGACATTCTTGGCTCATAGTAGGTAATAAGAATAGTTGGGGGGGGGGGGGTGTCCATTTGGAGGATGTCACCTGTTCATGATTATTAATGAGGGGAGCTGTTTGATGTGGAGTGACGTCACTTGCGCATGATTATTAGTGAAGGGTGGGGAGTACTCTATATTGAGTGACGTCACCCGCTCATGATTATTAATGAGGGGTGGGGGGGGGTGTCCATTTGGAGGACGTCACCTGCTCATGAATATTAATTAGGGGGGCTGGTCGATGTGGAGTGACGTCACGAGCGTTAAGGACAGAGATTCCTGGGTGATTATAGTAGGTATGTGTCTATTCATATATACCTATAGGTGTGTACACTTTATAATGTGTATGCATTGGTAATGTTACAGAGGTGATGTCTGCTAACGTCATATCTGTGATTGTGCACAAAAGCAGCAGACCACTGCCAAAAATATGTTCGCATAATTCCACATTACCACGTGGCCAAGACATTTTTACTGCAAGAGTGGTATTACTACATGTGAACTCGTCTTCAAGACACATTATGAATAGAGGCCACGTGAAATATTTTAGGCTTGCTTCTTGTGTTGGCAAATGTTTATTTTAGTCTGATAATTGTTGACAACAATTGAACGATATCTCCACTACCACCAAGGGGCGATGTACTGGTCCCCTAACAGCCCTGCTTGGGTGTGCTGGACAGATATCATGTGGTTCCATCCCTCCTCGATTCACCAACCCCACCGATGTATTCCCAGCCCGTGTTGTTTGGCTGACTGAGCAGTGCATATTTACCACGATGTATGTAATGTTCCTTCGTCTCACTCTGTCTCTCTCTCTCTGAATGTCTCTTCCTGTGTCTGTCTCTCTCTCTGTACCTCTGTCTCCATATCCCTTTGTCTCTGTCTCTCACGGTGTATCTCCGTCCATATCTCTTTGACTTTCTCATCTCTCTGCCTCACACTGTGTCTCCGTCTCTCTCGCCACCTCTCTCTGTCTCTGTGGATGCGCCTCTCCACGTTTTTCCTTCTGCTGCTTTCTGCCGACGCTCTCTACGTCTTTCCTTATTCCTCTTTCTCCATCTGTCCGGCAACCTCACTGTCTACGCACATCTCCATCTCTCTCCGTCCCTCGCTCCCTCCGGGCCGCATGCCGCGCCCCTCCGACCGCAGACATCCCTTCCACGTGAAGGAGGAGCCGCTGGAGACGGACGACAACAACGTCCCCATTTCCCTGATGGCGTCGGCCCCGCACAGCCCCGAGCTGGAGGATGACAAGGACACGGAGGAGGAGCCGCTGATGAACGACGAGCTGGAGTGAGAGGGGGGCCGCCGGCGCCGACTCGCCGACGGCGCGGGGGCACGCGTCCGCGTTCGCCGGCTCGGAGGAGGACGGACGGGCGGAAGGGCGGCGCGTCGCCCGTGCGTTCTCGCCCCCCCTCCCCCCTTCCCCAGCGAAGCGATCCTCAAACGGCCGACCACCACCACCTCCACCGCCACCCACGGCGCTTACTACGCAAGGTGGCGGCGGCGATTGCTTTTCTGGACCGAGAAGTCAGAATACGTGACGCGTGAAAACAAGTGACAAACTGCTGTGAGCAGCGTACGCACCCTGCACGCCGATGATGTCTTTTGTAAAGGATCGGATGGTCCCTCGTGAACATTGTGAGCTGGTTTGGCATCACCGTGGACACAACGGCGGTGGTGCAACAACGGCGGCGGCGGCGTGAAGAGCATCTTCTTCTCGGTCGATGCTGCATTCAAAACCCCACGAGACTGTGAAATCTTCCATTGTGCTTTGCGCCCCTGTGGACGGGAAGCCAGCATCGAAGACAAACGCACGGACGGAGCGGGCGTTTAACCCAACCTGAGGAGGGTTTTAATCAAAAACGACATTTGCCAGTATTAACTCGACGTGAAGTGTACATTCTGCGGCCGTCTTGTTTACGGTCCAACGGCACCCGGCGTCATCTCCTCGTTTTAAACAGCGGCTGTAGCACTTACCGGAGCGCAACTCTCCTTCGCGGCGTTGTTGGAAGCCGCACCGGCTGGGGGCCAAGCTGCCGGGCGGTTAAACCGTGCCGCCAATTTTACACGGAACTGGTCACGCTGAAGTTGCTCTCGAAAAGTTGACAACGACTCACGACACACGCGTGGTGCGCGCATTGACAAAACGTGCAGTTGTAGAGTACGGTTATTAACGTTATTTGCCGTTTTTACTTTTGCATTTTCTTTACAAAAAAAAAACACACACTTTCGAAAAAACTAAAAATTAATTGTCGTGTATAAATGTATTAACGTGCCAAGTTTTGCGTTGGGGTAGGTGCATTGCCCAGCTGGAGAAGTGTTGACATCCTGGCTCTGGCTTGGTGTGTGTGCGGCACGCTGCCAGTGAAACGTGTGGCTTCACAATACACAGAGGAGCCACTCAAATGAATATGAGGAGTGGTAGTGGTGACTGGGCAACTCAACTGTAATGCTACGCCGAAAAAGCCCTCTGCACAAGCTGCGGTGTGTAGTCTGTCTGCATAATCCGATCTCTTAAGTACCTCTTTACCTCTGTTCACCTCCGATGTTAGAAAAATACAAAAGTCCTCATTTCTTTTGTTACCGGTGCAAACCAAAGGTTTACCGCGGCGTTCCAAAATGCTCAAAAAACAAAATGCTTTATCTTACACCGTCTACCTGCCCTGTGAGTGGCACGTCTACCAAATTGCTTCACGGACGTCTCTGTAGGATTGCAGAGAGAGAGGGGGAGTGAGGGGGGGGGGGGGGGGCCCTTGGCGACCTTTGACACTGACCCCGCCACGACAAGACACGACAGAGAAACACAAGGATTGGCGTCCAGCGACCGCGCGTTTGTGGATGTGCTCTCCGGAGTATGTCGCCCGCTTCTGGGACGGACGGCGCTTAGAAGAGCAAAACGAAACAAACAAACGAGACTCGGTGCTGTGGGGATTTACCGCGCTGTGGCAAACGTCGCGTTAGAAATGGCGAAAGCGCCCAACGATCCCTCAATCGTGTTTCTCTCTCGCCGCCTGTGCACTGCCATCGTCTTCGTCTCCTTGCTCACCGTACAAGAGGGATTTGAAAACTTGTGTTTTTTTTGTTTCTGTTAAAAAATATCGCAAGGTGTGAGGAATTTCACGGAGCAAGGTGGCATGATCATAAAGGAGAGAGAGAGAGAGATGAATTGGCAATGCTAAAATAATTTCTTGGTTTTTTTTTTAGCTAAGTTTGAACCCAATGGGAAAGGAGATAGAGTTAAGTGGAGGATGGTCTTATTAAATAATAATATAAATACAGGTATACATTTTGTCACTGGTATGTCAAATTAAAGCACTTGTGTTACACTCAACAGACCTCTACAGTTACTTGCTACTAATAAAATCGCTACCTGATTACCAATGCTTCCTAGAGACCAAAAAATGTAACCCAACTACAATCCCTCTAATTTTCAACAGACCTCAAGTACACTCTTTTCACTCTGTGTCATGATGTTACCAGGTGTTGTCGCTTGCTCATGTCTGTGCACGTGTGGTGTTTATGACGGTTGGATTGGATTCGTGGTGATGGTGAGAGCTTAGAGCTTGCTTCCCTTTAGTCTAAATGTCAATCACCGATCGAAACGCGCATTTCAATATATTTAAACAACTAACGACGACATTTAACAATATTCAAGCCGTATCTCTTGAATTACAAAACAAAAAAAATAACAACAGTATTTAACTCCAGAATTCTGGACACGTGATTTGTTTTCAAAAGTATGTTTTGTATTTTTTTTTAAATATATACGTTCACTGTTAAATTAAATATTTAATGGTAAATATTAACGCCCCCTTTTGTGATGGTTGACCTTAAATTAAAAAGTTTCAGTAAAGTTGTTTTTGCTTAAGTCGATATATGTTTGAGTTAACACTGCGCACCCCTATTTAAATGGCCTTGACTGTGGAAGTCAGTCGCTGATAATTTATAAGATGTTGTCTTTTGAATACACTCATGTTGAAAATGCTTTCCACAGGCAGTATAGGACCCACATGCTTGGAAATTTGGCTTTGATTCACCTTCGGTCATTTGTGCTGTTTGCCCGTATTTTAAAGGCACACCATTTGCTGTTATCCATATTTATTTTCTCGCTCTTTTTTGCCAAGTGTAATCTCTGAGATTGCCAAAGATGGTTCGGATATACAGTACCTTCTTTAAGTAACAACCAAATAGCAAGACGCGGGCCCCTTTTAAGGAGGTGGCAAAGAAACTATTCTGTTGACCAAAATGCATTGCATCCAAAAGGCAAGCATTTCCTTCACGTCAGGCGAAGTGTAATGAACCAAAGTTTTCTCTCTGCGACCGTCGCTAAGCAAGCGGTAAATGTTGACACTTAGCACCCCAACCACCCACCCACCCACCATCCCTTCCTCATACTGCCGCGCTCACTTCTCTGCTATGAAATCTCCGCGCACGAAGCACGCCGCCAGATTCGTTTTCTGTTCCAATTCACGAGCGCGTTGCGTCGACCCCATCCATAGCCGCGACCCCATCCATAGCCGCGACCTCCTTTTTAGGCCCCCGGTCGAAGGCGACAAACGGACATGAGGAGCAAAAACAAACATACGTTGAGTTCTTGAAGCGAGAGACGTTGTCGGAACCGAGAAATATACCTTTTAAAACGAACAAAAAACATCGAGCGTGACACTAAGATGTACGCGTCGATATATCCGTGGCGGACGCGTGATGTTGACGGTTTAACATTTAATTTTGAGGAAACCGTTTTTGAAACAAAAAAAATGTTCGTCTGATATCCATGCATGATGTAACATTGTGTGATTGTTGTGGATTTAAAATCGGGTTTAACGCTTTCGCCGTAAGCGGAAAACCGTGAAGATGTTTATGACGTGGGGAAGAAGAAGAAGAATTACAAATAAGTTCATGCATTTACTGATCCCCCAAGCTCCCCGTACACTCAGCACTAAATGAGCAAAGCTTTACAAAGGATAATACCCACTCTAGAGCATAGAGTGGCTTGTCACAGTTACAGTATTTGGGAAATTTTACGACTGACAAATTCTGAAGTGAATAACGTAGTGTGGTGATATTAACTCAAATGCGACCCTGTATCTTTAAACAAACAACACACACACAGGTGTTCTGTTAGCGAGTAGGCGATAGCTTAAAGCTCGAATATACGTAGCATATTATTGTAAATAAGGTTAATGTGTAATTATGACAACATAACACACAAGCGTGACATCTTTAGAATGCATACCTCAACTAGATTAAACCTCTTTGAAATAAAGTACAGTTTGCACTTAGCTGTAAAAAAAAAATTGCATGATTTTAGCAGATACACGTTAGTTTGTATATTGTTAGCCTTTGCAGTGGATGTTTGAAAACAGTGAACACTTCACTTGTGTGTTGGTGATCTTAACGATGTGGCGTTTTGCTCAAAGCAAAAACTGTTTTCTGCTTCTTCTTCTTCTTTACAAAGAATTCCTTTGTAGTCTATATAATTTTGTTTTTATTTCATCGCAAGAAGTAAATGTAATATCCCTCTTACCAAACTGTTAACGACATGGTATTGAGATTATACTGAAATACATGGAAAAGATGTGTTTTGATGTACTATTATCGTTCCCGTTGGAATTGTTTTCCACTTTCGTTTTAATTATTTCTTGTTGTTATCATTGCATAGTTCGTTTTTGTTTCGTTTGTTTTTTTTACAAACTTGCTTCTTCTGTATACTGTAGTAGAATTGACTTAGTAAAAAGAAATGGCTTGGTATTTGTGACAATGCTTTGTATTTAACTGTCATGCTCGTAGCTGGAGAAAAAGCCCTGAATGCATCATATGTACTTTAGCTTAACATGAAATCAGCTGTACCATTTTACATTTGCTTTGAACTGAATAACACATTGAGAGCTCTTAGTTATTAGTGCTTGGGCACCCTTTGTTTTTTACATGTGATGGTGTATCACGTGGAGGATGTTCGAAGGCTCCACTCCCACACCATTGGCGTAGTGATACACCACGTGATCCGAGCTTGCGGAGAGATGAGTCTATCTATTCCGATGTTTTTTTTTACTTTGACGGTTTATTTTCTGTGACTTAATAAAAATTCAAGATTGGACCAAAACGCCAAACGGAGTATCTGATACAGGAACGTGTAATTTTATGATTTTTATTCGTTAAACTTACCTTTTTAAGTGCCAAGGATTAAAAAAAATGATAAAGTAAAAAAAAATAAAGTGGTTGAACTTGGTTCGATATTCGGTGTGTTTTAATGCGCAGCTGGACTCACACCTCCGAGGTCTGCAGAGCCTCGTTCACACGGAACGGCCTGCTGTGAATCCACTACCCAACTCGCTAACGCTCACGCCACTGCTGATGGGAGGGCCTGCACGAGAGGGAGCTCTAAAGAGCCCTTCCACAGGGCGTTTGGCCAGCAATCTTTGAAGAGGTGGGAGTACCCACGATTTACTCCATCACGCGCGACCTGTCGGATCAATAAAACTCTGGTTGTAGCCATTCATACCGCAGGACAAATTTAGCAACTTGCAACATCATTTAAACCTCTTGATGATTGCAAGTCCAGCGCGCTGACCATTACACCTCCGATTGCCACAGTTGGCTACGCACGGCGCGTTAGAAGTTCAACGTACGTACGTGCGTGCGTACGCCGTGGCAGAATCCCACAAAGCAATGCGAACGTGACGCCTTCTCGCACCACGGCTGCAGTGCGGGTTGTCGAGTCAGGGTCCAGCTGTGCGTGACTTGCTGCAGCCAGGAAGGCGCCTTTGGCCGCTTCGGAACTCCGTCGAGCAGGGCGCAGTCCACGGCGAAGATGATTGAACCCCAGGCGGGCGAAATCGCAGTGTCCTCCACGAGGCATTGGGTTCTGTGTTGACGATGAGGGTCACTCCTCACGCCACAATAATAATTTCAACTCGGAGACGAGGAACCACGGACGGGAGGGAGAGGGGAGTAGCCAGGCGGTGAGCCGGTGCCAAATCCCACCCCCCCCCCCAAGCTCTGCAGTCCTCTATATATCGAGGTGTTATCGACCATTCAATGAGTATATACTTGTGGGAGGAGACTGGAGCACCCAGAGAAAGCCCACACGCGTGAGGGGGAAACACTCAAATCCCACACGGACAAAACATTTACAGTCCACATTTTTGCTATAGCCGCCTTCTGTCGTATTAATCGTCTACAGGTTAAATTAAATATTATGAATATTATAAGTATAGTCATATTGTAAAAATAATATTGATAGCGTAAAGAGAATGAAGTAAAAACAATTTATACAACTTTTTTCCCGTCCATGGAAAGATGTGCTTAAGGAAACATCGTTACCTCAGGTTTGCTGTGCAAAAAAAAATCTAAAGAATGTGCAATTGGCTCTCACCTGGCCGTTATTAACATAACGCTGCAACGCTTTCATTTCCACAACTTTCCCAAACTGAATTCTGCAGAGGAGCTTTCCATCACTCCTGAGCATCATCTTCCTTTATGTAAACAGGCACTTTCTCCTATTTAAACAGCTCAATTATGTCACCTGCAGCGATGAGCGGCCTTTAACCTTAGTTTGACTTAAACAGTCATTTTGCATGTAATTTTAGCGATTTTTGTTTAATTTTATCCTATACTACACCGAGTTTTTTTTTCTGATACCCGTACATACGAAACCTCGCCAGACATGTCCGTGGCATAGTTTAGCTGACTTTGTTCTGTTATGGTGAATTTTTGTTTGTTTCCTCAGCTGGAATGATAAGGCGTCATCCACATTACATCGCTCTGATTTCGCACGCCAGACTCTCTCGCCCCCACACCACTCTGGAGCGCAGACTTGGTGGGTCATGACACAGAGATAATACCCGTGCTTTGGCTTGCGGCCTGCATATGATGATGATGATGACGACGACTACGGTACACTATCAGTATATTATTATACGACACAAGATCAGTGATAATCGTATCGTCTTTCATCGGCGGAGATTATTTTGCTGCGATAAATTTCCACACGATAAGCCGCTTTGTTGAGCTTTCATTTGTGGCCAGGTCGCCTCTGAGAAAGAAGTTAATACATCAGTGGGCTTTACATGGTAAGATAACGATAGTTTTAGTGATCTGATATTTCCTATACGTTGCACTCATGGTCGTGTTTATGTATTGTTTGTTGTACCTTTCTGACCCACCCCTCCTGGACATCTGTGAAAACGAGCGTTATAGCTCATCGAAAATTCTTCAGTATGAATAAAGAATGTTACAATGGTAGACACGCACACTTGTTGACGACGTCTCACGCTGAGGCATCGCGATGTCAGGGCCATGTTTTTAATTTGAAAAAGGTGAAAAAAACTACAGGAAATTACTAAATTAATTGTTATTAGTGTTTGGATCTCAGGGCTCCACCTTTACGTTTTAGCTTGAGATATCACCAGCTAACATAAGCCCGCGTTCATCCTTGTTAAGATAATATAAAGATGTCTTCCCTCAACTCGCTTAAGAGAGGGGGATAACAATTCCTAAATCCGCACGGATGAACCGCTCTGCTTGCCGTGATCATCTCGCAGCACAGCAGACTGGATCCTGCTCACGAACGTTGATCTCTGCGCGATCCACCAACCCCACCTCCAGAGCAGCGAATTACAGGCGAGTTGCCACAAAGCAACGGTTTTGTGTTCAACACGTAGTCGGCTTTCGCGACCAATGTCATCCATAATAGAGGTTGTTTTTGGGTTAGATCGCGTAAATATTTAAATGTGTCGTTAAACCCGCCACCACCCGACACAGCCAATTAGTAATGTGTGTCAAGTAAACAGAACGTACTCTTTGGTTCTTTCGGTAAAGTCAAAACAACTAAATTAACTCCAATGTAGTTGTTTTCATTTTTGCTTTATTTTATTTTATTGTATTTAATTTTTACCTACGTGACTTTGCCGAAAGAACCAAAGAGTATGGATCCTTGCAGTCACGAAAACTTCAAATCTAGAATTAAACAGAACGTGCCAATTCGTTCCAAGTACAGCACACTGGTGTGTTGGAGAGCAAAGTCACAACATTTACAATCTGAGCAATTATCTCCGAAAGATAACCGGTTTCCTAACCCGCTAACGACGGCGCTGCGTCGACTGTTAGGCTGAGGCAATGTGGTTTAAGATGGAGACATGGTGTTGAATAGATCGCTGCTGTGATGAAACCTTCACAGGCCAACAGAGGCATCGCATACTTACCGCCACTTTGCGACTGAGCGGCAATGCTTGCAAAGCTGTGATACGAAGCCAGGGCCTGGGGTAATGTCAGCGGTAGACAACAAATAAAGTGTAAGACTCAGAAATGTTCTTTCATAGCGGTCTGTGTTTATTAAGTAGCAGCGGTGCGTTGGTTATTGAGCCGCTTGCTGCTGAGCTAATTCACACGGCGGTAATATGCTTTGCAAACAACTTCACGACGGTTACCTTTCGGAGGTAATCACGAAAGCATTTTGCCAGTGTGAAATTAAAATATAACCGCCTGTGTTGGCAATGGTTCACAAACAAATATCTGGGGTGGAAGCCACCTAGTTCATACCTCCCTGTACTTTGACAGAATTCTATAACACGAGGAAGCATTGTTGACAACACTTGCAGGAACAACGTGAGGAATATCTGCCCGCACGTGGCGAGATGTTAACTACCTCGCCTGGTCTACAGGAGGTCGTGGGTTCGACCCCGACCCTGACGCCTGCTGCTATATATTTGGAGTTTGCGTGTCTCTCTCCCCGTGGTCGCGTGCATTTTTTTTATCCGGGTCCTCCGATTTTTCCTTCCACATTTAGAAACACGCGGTCAGAGTATTTGGCTGTTATAAATCTCCACGTGATAAGCCACTTTGTTGAGCTACCATTTGTGGTGGCCAGGTCGTTTCTGAAAAAAGAGCTACACAGCTCAGTGGGCCTTACCTGGCAAAGATTTTAAAAAAACACATGTGAAACACATCATCGACAAACGCGCCATCCATGAACATCCTGGCGGTGCCAGTGCGATTCAAAACAAGCGTGTGCTGCTGCTTCTTCGGATCGGTTGAAACTACAACACGTTTCTAAACTGTTGTGTTTCCTTCCTGCCATATGAAAGAATAAGAGGATAATTCAACGTAAAATAGTGCAAGAGCAATTGCTAATCCATCAATCATTCATTCCGGTCACTCTCTCACCGGCATACCGTTGTCTCCTTATCACTCTTCTATCGCTAATACTACGATGCTTACTGTTCCTGTGATCTCACGCATTGATTCCTCCCGCCATGTTGAGAACTCCGTGTACCAGAATGGCTGTGGTCGTCTAATCGATACGTCGTTCAACCACCGTACGGCCGGTCAAAACACCTCTCCTTCTGGCTAAATACCCTCGAGATGAGCTGTCTCTCGCTGAGCTCTACCTCCAGCAAGCAGCATGAGCAGGTAATTGCAGGGCTGCACCTTTACCTCCTGAAGATGAAAAAAAATGCGAGGTGGCTGCGTGGCTTATGGGGCGAGTGTCACGGGCAGAGCGGTAATTCAGCACCACATGTCCTGGTTTCCAATTAGGGGTTTGCAGCCGACTGCAATTAAACTGTTCTCAAAAAGCCTCAGCAAGTTGATGGTCTCAGCCCAGTCATCAGTGACCACACAAAAAAAACTATCCTGTCCACCACCTTGACATTCACGGTTTCAGAAATAAAACGTTTGGGTTTTTTTTATTCGACAAAACCTTGCGCTACGAAATAAAAATGTGTGCCCGGCGAGTGTGGATCAGCACCCTGTTCTGCAATTGACTTCAGAAGTAGCTCTCTGACGTAGTTATTCTGGAGCGATTCTCTAAGAGTTCGATGCTGTGAGAAATAAAATAAAAAATGGGAGTAATTGTCATCTCATGATGCTGCTGAAACAAATCGACGATAAATACTCACGCCACTGCTGCCCGGAAGGGCCTCTACTGGAGGGAGTTCTAGACGGCCCCTCTAGAGCGGGTATTTTGCCTACTCTTCCACACCGGTCAGACGTCTTGAAAGAAGTGCGAGTTCCCACACTTTACCCCACGACACGTGACTTTGCCGATTGCCTCACTGCGGTTGATAACAGAGCGGGAGGGGGGGTTAATAAACGCGCCAATCATTTCAACTGCCGTTGGAATAAGCAAAACAACTGCAATGGAAATATCCCAAAATGCACTTGAGCCAAATTAAGTCAAACCTATGAAGCTGTTCAAGTAAATCGGGAGAAGCATTCCAAGCCAACCT